CTTCCCCCCTTCCAGACCCTCTACCACTTCATCCCCTTCCTTTAGACCCACACCCAAATCCTCCTGTTCTCTCAATTGGATATTTGTCAGATGAATCATGTTCTGGTCTCTAGACTGCAGAGATCACTTCTCCTCTTGGGGGTTCTCAACACAAGGAATTCTAGCTTTTGCTTCTCTTTTATAAATTCTTTTGTATTCGTTGGTCGGCCCTGCACCTACCAGGCCATCTTTCAATCTAAAAATATATATAAAATAAAATAAAATAAAACCTTTGTAACATGAACCATGCTAGACTTACTTGAATCTCTGGATTTTTTTGGAGTCTCCAAAACACCGCCCTTAACAGCCCCAACATTCTCTTTCCTTATATGACCCAGATCAATGCCTAATCTTCCAATGACCACTTCAAGAGCTGAAGAGTCAGAGTCATTCCCTATCTTGATTCCATAAGATATATTTTCAGTTGGCCTTTCCTTCTTGCTTTCACTTCCTAGTTCTAAATCTTCTTCCATTTCCTTGTGCCCTTCTCCTTCCTTAACCTTGAAATTTCTACTCTCCACCTTTTCCATCGCAATCTCCACCTCCCCCATAGCACCACTCTCCTCCTCCCTCCCAACTCCATAGCTGCCAGATCTTCCCCATTCGGACCAGAGTCTAGAACCTTGTTCTTATGACAGAACTCTTAAGAAATAGCAGATACCGTACTTGGCTCACCACCAAAAGAGTCAGAAGAGCACCATGTAGTCAGCTTGGCTTGCAGAAGGTATTTATACGTCAAAGAAGACTTGCAAACCACAGCTCTATCACACCCTACCGAAGATACCAATAAAGCATCCTTTGACAATCCTGTGAATGCAGTTACCGAGCAACCAGGGGTGCACTCCAAACTCTGAACCAATTGTCACAAACCCTTTTCTTTCTTCCTTTTACAACCCAACTTCATTCTAAATTTACCTCGGGCCCCACCCCTCTTAAATTTACTTAAAAGCTTCACTCCTAAACCCCTATCCTTATGGCATCAATGGCCCAGTGGCCTAAGCAAACTCCACTCACAATGGACCCCACCACTTAAATGTTTCCCACCTAAATTCACCAGAGCCCCTTCGTTTCTTTCGTGAGCCTCCTCCTTCCCAGATTCGCCCACCACGTGTTTCTACTTAAAAGCTCTCCACTTCTTCCTCACAAAATTACTAATTTACCCCTACCCCTTCCTTATTTTCACTTATATCCTTTGCTGACATTACCACACTATTGACCGTTCACCTTCCATCATCTTCCTCCTCCAACCCGTCGAACTTCTGCACCAACGTCTCCCCTCCTTCCTCTGAAAGGTAGTCAAACACCTAGGTACAAACAAGCAAGAATGTTGGGTTCTCCTCCACCCAACGAGACGGAATGCATCCTTCAACCACCATCCTCAGATTGTACCACTCCTCTACGAAATTCAACGCTAAGCAAGAAGGAACCAAATGCACATCTTCAACTCCAATCAATAATCTTGTTGACACCAGGTTCTTCAACCAATATATTCTAGCATCAACATTTTTAAAGGAACCACAAGCGTTTCCCACCACAGAAAAGGTTTGTAAATTCCAATTGTGAAGTGGAATCTTGCAAACATTGATCCACACAAGGCTCTTTGCACCCCACCATCTCTAACTGCCCCCACTAACGGGTTCTATTTTCCCAACCTGAGATCCACCTTTCTGACTTTAGCAAACTCACTGTCCAGAATATCCTCTACCTCCTTGCTACTTAACACGAAGAGGAAAAAACCTGTGTTCAACATCTTCACATGGAACTTCTATTTCACATTCCAGCACAAACTGACCCATCTTAGAACCTCTAGAGTTGGCAAAACGACCGACCAGGCACTTCTCTAGCCAACGAACCCACTCTAGGACACCATTGCTTGATTCCACAAAGGCTTCCTTAACATCTACCATTTTTTTTCAAATCCTTAGCAAGTCGTGAATTGATTCATTATCTACTAATCTCCTATTCTTTGCTATTAGGATTCATCATCTACTAATCTACTTAGCAAGTGGTGGAAGATTGCCTTTGACTTCAGTCATTTGGAACACCCATATCCTAACTATCATTGCATTATGTGGATGGCCTACTTGAACTACTTGACTGAGATCTTAGCTATCAACGACTTGATATTGCCCTTTTATTGATCTCCACATGAAAATACACCGTTATGAGGGAATGGAACCATGGAGTCCAAACAAAAGGGCAGTAAGTGGTAATAAAAGCAACTTCGAAACAGATTATGTTTTTACGGCTTTTAATACTCGTTTAAAGTTTTCTTTTTGTGAAAATATGGTATTACAGAAGCATAGAACAATCCAGACTAAAATAGAAAGAAAGAAAGAAAGAAAGAGGAAAGAGAAGAGAAGAGAGGAGAATGGAGAGAAACTGCCAACCTGATTAGAGAGTGATTAGAATGTCTTAATCCTTTCTAAGCAGTCGGCCCAGCTTTTATATAACATGAAATAAACAACATAATTACAGTTATGCCCTTATTTATGAAAAAGCATTGGACTGGAGTATTCCTAACTTAAAATGAAATAACTTGTATACCCTGCCACCCAAATACACCCAGAATAATGCCCTTTTAACACTTCAACAGTTTTCATTAACAGCTTTACAATTGTCTTCGAGGTTTGTAAAAATGCAAAGTCATTTAAAGCTTTTAAATGTGTTGTAATCCTTGTATATATAATGAATAATTTATCCATATGTTAATTTTTTTTTATCAATAATAGTATTATATTAATAAAAGGAAGAGAGACCTAGATCTGTCCAGAGTACAGTTGAGGGAGTACAAAGGCAGCATCAAGCTGATCACATAGATTTAACCAATACAACAAACAGATCACAATTGGACCCGTCCCAGGCATTTGGCATTCCAACGACCCCAGATTCACCAGGATTACCTAGACAGCAGCTATCAAAATTAAACTTGAGACTGCCTGCTTGAGGTGGCTGCCAATCAATGATTACCTTTGGTCTTCGCATTGGCTTACCACCAATAGTTTGCCATCCTCTTAAACGATTATCTACTGTTTTATCTTTGAACTCGTTACATGCTAATGCCCAATGGGTGGCCCTTAACTTGATCAGGTCGGTCAAAACACCAATCCCCAACACCTTATTATTGAACACCCTTGCATTTCTCTTCCCCCATATGCTCTACAAGATTGCAGCTCTCATACAATGCCACAACAATTTCATTCTCTTGGTGTTACAAGCAAGCAGATCATGAGAAAATAGATTCATGACATTTTGAGGAGTGTTCCAAGACTTACCAAACAGGGTAAAAAAGTAGTTCCAAATTTGGCAGGTATAGTTACAAGGTAAGAAAATGTGACTTGAGCTTTCGCCACTTTTAGGACACAGAACACAAACATGTAGGGATAGGCACTGTGATATCGCTTCTTCTAACTCGCATAGTTGGTTGTCTTCTATGCTCGTGCCAAACCATCTTAGCCTACTCTCTCTCTATCACCTATTTGAGCTACTCCTAGGTTCCTACAGATAACTTCATTCCTAATCCTATCCTTTGTAGTTTTTCCACCTATCCGTCTTTGTATTTGCATTTCTGCCACATTCATTTTCTGGACATGTTGTTTCTTGACTGCCCAACACTCTGCTCCATACAACATGCCTTACAACTGTTATATACAATTTTCATTTTAATCTAAGTGGTATTCGCCTATCACATAAAAGTCCAAATGCATCCCTCCATTTTGCTCATCCTACTCTAATTCTTTTGGGCGACATCCTCTTCAATCTCTCCTTTGTCATGAGAATTATTGAACCAAGGTACCAGAAATGGTCACATTGAGTTATCTCTTGGTCTCCAATCCTAAGTGTATCTTGATTTACACTCCTATTATCACTAAATTTACATGTCATATACTCTGTTTTACTCCTACTTATTTTAAAACCTCTTCTTTCTAAGGCGTTTTGTCCATAAGCTTAATTTTACTTCATGTTTTTCTTAAAAGAATGAGACCTCATGAGGCATAAGCTTGACAAGACAGGATCAAAGTTTCTTGCCTCACACCTCTACTTTTTAAAACATTTATAAGAGTTAAGCTGATGTAAGTTGATAGCTCTATGAAAAATTTATTGGGAGCATAAAAAGGACATGGGTTGAGGTAGCATCAAAAAAGCATTTGAGGGCTGACTATTTGATAGATGAAGACATGGCCCTTGATGGTTGAAGTGAAGGTATGTTGAGCTGAGACAAGCATAAAGGTAAGCCATAGCCCAATAGTATTTGAATTTTGACATGTGGCCAAGGTTCAACTCTATTACAATGCCATCTTTAAGCGTTTTTCCTTAACTTATAAAAATTAAGCAAAAATATAAAATAAATAATTAATTATATGTCAATTCCATATGATTGAAGGCATAATTAAATGAAAAACATTGCATGGATTATATAATCATATAATATACTACATATCAAAACAAATCTTTGCCTTACAATATCCATGTTAAACAAGGATGTCATCACCCACCTACCAAACCAGAAGTAACTAGGCCACGACTGAAAACTGTCTAGGAAAACAAAACAGTTCCATGCTAAATTTTATTGAATAAGAACATTATATAAAACTAAATATTGGATTATATTAGAAAGTAAATACCAATTGATCTACCCAAATGGAAAGAGCATATACACTACATGAAATGACAAAAAGCTAGAACCTGACAAATATTATGTACTTCGCAAACTAACAACACAACAGATAAAGGTACTATACAGCTCAAAATGATGCTTAATGCCAACATACTTCAGGAAAACATAAAAGAACACTACATAAGAATACAACAACAATCAACTATTGTCTACCATATAAAAAAATCAAATGCTTATATAACTGAACTGCACTCACAAGGGCTTTGAGCTTTTTTTCTTTTATCTTTTTTTTTTTTTTTTGGGGGGGGGGGGGAGGGGTGTGCAAGGTGAAGTGATAGCATACCATCTCTGGAGGTAACAGATATGCATCAATGAATAGCCTTTGTGAAACATCTACTTTTGCAAGTTGTTCTGCAAGAGCATGCAGATCCATGGAGAGAAATGATGCCTAAATGGAAAAAAAAGAACACAAACAAGACAAAACATAAGATACAAAACCAAGGCAAATGTGTATGTTGGAAAATAGAAAGTGTCTTGCAGTTAATGTGTAGATTCTTCTAATGTAGTTATTTATTTTTGAAGGGGCAAGGGGGAAGGATACTTGAAGGCTGTATTTAGATTCATGTGGAAACAGAGAAGTGGTATGGAGGAGGATTCCCAAATCCACTATTGGTTGCCTCTTTCTCCCATTAACTTGGTGAATCCTAACTGCATGTGGGCCAGTGAGGTAATCATTTTCGAATCCACCAAATTGCAGATTCGGTATCCCATCTCCACTTCCACTCTACAATTCAATCACAGCTAAAGTGATTGCAGAAGTACTTAAATTGCTTCCATCTGAGACAGCAAGCCGTAATTGCAATTGAGAAAACATTAATGCAAAGTTACAAAATTGATACAATCACTTCCCAAGGTGAAAACCTTGGGCAAGGTAGCCCCTTTCCACTTGTACATGGCAAGAACACCAAAGTTACTTAGGTGATCAACTTCACTTGTCTCACCAATTGACTCAAAGGCTCCTTTTTCTTGCATTATCCAAGTTTACTTGTACATAATCAAACCTTTTTTTTTTTGATAATTGTTTTCAGAGGACAAACTCGATGGTTACTCATTTCCTACGTCGATGCTTTTGTTTAATAATTCATTGGATACACAAGTCAAATTCATGATGCAGTAGAATATAAGTTTGGCTAGAGAAGCGGTGGTCTAATATAGTTTATAGCGTATGATTGGGCATAATATTGAGAGTGATCATTTTTGCATTTTGCCTCCTTAATCTTCATCAGGGAAAGGAATTTACTTGTATCTTTTACACTATACAGTTTCTATCATTCACCATTTGAGATGACAAGGTCCATTTTCTCTTTCCTATTACAAAGTTCTTTGAGTGTTGTTACTGATAAAAAAGATGTAGAAGCATAAAAGTTTGTATCTACATATTTAGTTTGAACAAACTCCAAGTATCAAAGAACATGTGAAAATAACCTTTTTCAAGATTTTATTTAACAGAAAACATTAAATTTATTGCAAATATGTGTCACTTCCTTCCTATCTCCCATTTGGAAAATATCATTCTTGGCCACTGAAATATAAATAAAGATGAAACCAACCTGACTTGCAGTTTCATTATCCTCCACAGCAAAGTTATCATTCCCAATCCATGATAGTATGTTCTTTCCCCTGGCAGAAAGCACAGTGCTCACTCCCTGGTTGAAGCCTAAGAAAAATTGAAGTCAATCATGTGCAAAATCCCATAATTTGTGCATTTAAAATTAAGTTTATATATGCTCCAATTAAACTCAAAGAAAAACAATGTTTATCTTACAAGCTACACTAGGGAAGGCCAGAAATGAGCAAAAATGATAAACAAATAGAAATAACTAAAGAGAAACTCTACTACACAATGGATAACTTTTAATCCTTAAAATTTCAGTTACATTTTTGCAACAAGATTAATCAAAAAAGACTATGGTCTTTTAATTGGCAATAAGTAGGCTTATTATAAGAAGATATGGACTACAACAAAATAAACAATACTGGAATGAATTGATATTTTGGGCTTAGAAGAGGACTTGCGGACTTTGCAACACCAGACTACCAGTGGTGTTGAACCTGCTTCAGCAACTTGAAGGCTTCTTGTTTGATTTTTCCAAACCAGTTATAGAATTTGGTCCCTTACAACCTTTGGTTCTTTCTCTTACACCCCCTTTTTCAAAGCCTTGTATTCTTCTTCTAACCCAAACAAAAAAGGGGCCTTCTGATGGGAAGTATTTCATTTGAAAATTAATACATGTGAAACCCTCTAGAAGCAAAAACCTTTATGTTGCTTGTCTCCATATATTTGTTTTCCTTGTAATGCAAGTGGAGATTGGATAAACTAGTTATTTACCCACTAATCTCCTACTCTTTTGTTTCAAGCATTTAGAAATGGTTTTTCTCTTGATTTGGTTATAGGTGGAACCTACTAGTGGAAATCCTTTTCAAGCTATCCTTCTTTACATTACCAAGAAGAGGAGAAAAATAATGTGAAGATGCACAAAGGTAGCAGTATTATGGCTGATTTGGAAAAGAGAAATGCTAAATTATTCAAGGACAAAGCACAATTAAACGAATCTATAATGGAAACTGTTGTGTGTGTGCCTTGAATTCTTTATTGTGACCCACTTAATGACCCGCTCCAAATCAAGTTGAGAAAAACCATGTTAAACTAATTTAATTGCTGATGTTAGGGTCTGTTTGGCTAATTAAAGTGTTTTTTATTTCGTTTTTTCTTTCTGTTATGTCTGTTATTGTACTCAGGGGCACAAGGGTCTTTTCCCTTGTTATTTCT